TATATATATGATTCAAGATGGCTGCCACATTGAATCAGTATTAACTAAAAAATGTTGAGCTAAAATTTGCTGCGACAGTAGCTGAGAGTCATTCACGACATATAATCTCATGATAACGCATATGATTGAGCAGAATGTTGTTTTTAAGGTTTGACTAAAATGACTAAAATTCTGTTATTTTTCAATATAAAATGATCTTAGTCTAAAATTCTGGCAATGTCATGGTTTTTAGAGGTAAAATCCAGGTGTGTAAACTGAAACAAGGAGCTCAAGTAAAAAAGAACAAATGTAACTACAAATGGTCAGAACTTGAGAAGACACAGAGAAGAACATGGCGTGAAGCACACACAATGCCAGACTACAGGTGAAGTGAAAGCTGAGGGACTTTGTGGACAGGGGCTGATGAGTGGACTAGGTAAGAGCATACTGTACATGTCAAGTTGTACAGACTGTCTGGAAATTATATGGATTTAACATAAACTGACTGAGGTAGAGTGAACTGATGGCAATGGGAACACTAAAAAATGACTGAAAAACATAGAAACCAATAATAAACAAACAACAAAGGAAATAAATCTAAATCAAAACCAACTAAAAGCCCAGATCCTGACTGACATGAAAGGTCTCAGGTAATATTAATTAATCCAAGGTATGCTAGGAATTTGTATTTTGTACCTGCGTTCGTAGTCCAAGTCTCCAACAGAACCGTTCATGAGCTGATTGGGCGTCCACTTCAGCGTCATGATGTCAGCCGTCTGATGCAAGGAGAGATAACCTGGGATAGCCTCCATATCATCCCTCTGAAACAGCCATTAGCACAGATGTTCAGATTAAAGACGAAATGTAAGAATAAATGAGAACAAACTGGGAAAAAAGGGTGCAGAAGCTGAACAAAACAAACATCACACCTAAAGCAATTGTTTCGGATTGTGACAGAGATGAAGTGTTATAATAAAAACCCAATCTTGGAACAGGCTCCTGAAGCCTYTAATATGTAGATATATGATTCATTACTTTAATACACCATGTCAGGCTCTTTATGAGAAGTTTTATTTTTAGGTGCTGAAGGTTTAGAGCGTTACCGGTTGTACGAGCACGTTGTTCTTGCCGAAAAGCAGCGTAGCCCTGTTGTTCTGGTGCAGAGACTCCACATATTCACGAGCTGACGGGGAAGGGGAAGGCCGCTCATCCATGCTGCTGCTGGAATGTCGCTTCTGGATCTGAACGGACACGATTAACGCTGAATCAGAGAGGGCAGTGATGACTAACACACATTCGTTCATGTGCACCGGTGCAGCTGCACCCTGACCAGTGTTGTATTTTTTTTTTACATATACCACTCACATCTACTAAAAAAAGTACTGTGATCTGAAAGATGGGCTGAGATGACTGGGTTCACTGATAAAAAAAGCAATTGAACGAGTGTGAAAGGCTCAGACACGCTCTGTTCCTTCTCCTGTCACGCTCTGTTCTTCACTTAATGCATCCCAAAAGCGAAGGTCTGCCTCTCTGCGCATGTGACTTAATCTGTCAGARTTAAAAGCAGAAGGAGCCTGAGATTTCATACTTACACACAACGCAGGTCTCTTGGTGGGGGAATCCTGTCTGCAGAGGCCACTGTGGATGCGATGCCTCTGAACCAGCTCATCAGCAGACGGGTCCGTCCAGAAGTGATCGGCCGTTTTCATCTTGGTGTACTCCAAAGCACACGGTCCAACTGTCACAACGAAACCGCACAGCGAGACAGGACTAACACGATCAGCTTTATGTGATCCTGACCCTTTAAGGAAGGTGCTGTGAAACTTGCATTATTTTCAGAAATGTCTTGTGGCTTGTGCAGATTGAACAAATGGCACAAAAACTGCAGTATGCTATAACGTTCTGCTCCGCATGTTTTCAGGTTGTAATAGATTTAGCAGCAAATGTAAGGAAATACATGTTTGGTTGATTATATTTCATTATAGTAACAATGCTTCTTGGCAAGAAATCTTATACTGTCGAAGAGGCTTTTTAGTTCCCTTTCAGTGGTGTCACATTTGTTAAAATGCATTTTGTGGGTTGAGCAGCAGAGTTGAGTGTGTTGGTTGGGTCCATTTAAGACTAAACAGCTTATACTGCTAGTGACTCTTTTTAAATGTTGTTTTCTTGGATTGGACGATTGAAGTCTAAAGAAAGAAAACATCCTGGCAATTTAACAATTTATTAATTTAACAGCAGAGGCCTCAGTAGAATGTGGGAGAACCACACACTTTACAACCATAGAACCAGTGGTGGGCAGCACTAATCTAAATATTAGTTGCATTAACCCTAAAGCATTAACTCAAATATTTAGGTCCCTTAATTCTAAAGCACTAACACACTAAAAAATTTAGCAAAAGCTAATTCTAAAGCACTAATATAGTCCAGCTGACACATGAAACATTCTTCAGTCAACATGAGGCAGTATTTACTGTGTGCAGTATGTTGTCACTAATGCCCCTTTTCCACTAGTGCCACTTAGTGTAGTGTCGGTACGGTTCGGTACGGTTCCAAGCCATTTCCATTAGGCCAGATCCATGGAACTGGCACTTTTTTAAGCACCTACTTCATTGTGGTTCCAACAGCCCCAGCTGACACCAAAATRCGACGTCAAAACACTGTTCGTCACTAATTGGCTAAATTTTTGCAAATGTTTAAAATTTCAAAAGTTATTCATCAAATGTGTTTCCACCTCTCATTTTTCCCATTAATTTTTATTCAAAATACCTAAAAACCACCTCCACCAACTGCCCAAAACACACCCATTGGAACCGGACTGGAACATCAGTTGAAAACCAACCGGTCCGACCCGTACCTACACCGACCGTTCCGACAYTACACTAAGTGGCACTAGTGGAAAAGGGGCTTTAGTGCCCTTGGTGGGCCAAATGGGAGTCACCCGCAGGCCACATTTGGCCCATGGGCCATGAGTTTGACATGTGACCTTGTAGATAAGCRACACATATGAACAAAATGTGTGACAGCTTTCACCCTCAGCTATTACAATAATGTTGATCAGTAACATTTATAGACCTCAGTTAGTGCTTCTAAATTTAGCAAGTGCTAATGCTCTAATGAATTTTTAAAAATAGCAAAATCCCTAAAGCACTAATCAAGAAATTAGTTCCCCTATTAGTGCTTTAGTGCTTTAGGGGAACTGTGCCCACCACTGCATAGATACCAGCAGCTTGGTATCACACTGCTGGCATCTCATTCTTCAGCCAGCATTTGTCAAAAATCAGCCAATAAGAAATGCTGATCAATCTGGAACAAACAGCGTGCCCAAGCTGATCCCACAGATTATCCCATTATGGATGGGGTTATTCCATCGTCCCCACTGACAAACTCTGGATGAAGTGGTATCTGATAAACCCCACTCTGTAGGGACAAGCGTTGACCTCTTGGAGGATAAAGATCGGTCCCAAACTGTAGAGATATGGGATTATCCCTGGTTGTTGTCAGTACCAGAAGTTCAAAACAATAGTCAATAGCTAAATAAGCTGTTTGGTATTAGCAGAGAAGATTTGTTAAGGTTTTTGTGGCACAACTCACAAATGCATTTTCCTGACAAATGGCARCACCAGTTAAAGGGAAATAAACATGTTTTCTTGCGGTAGAGGATTTATAGACAATCAGCATTGAAATCCCAAAGAAATCAACCAACCAAACCCAAATTCCCTCCCTTTTTGTGCTGTGTTTACCACAATGCATATAACTTCTTACAGTGTCACATATTATTACCCAACAATGATGCCAGAATAGGTCCATCCACAGGGTCCATGAGGAAAGCTTCTTTCTCATAGTATTTACTGGAAGAAAAAGGGGAATTTTGAGGAGGCCTAAAAAGCTTAGAACACAGGTGAAGAACATGTTCCCTGTCTTCTAAACACACCTGCTGTTCTCCACCAGGAAGAGGACAATCTTATCCAGCACTTTCTCGAACAGAGCTGTCCTGATCCACAGGTTCTTGACTCCCGGCGGGTTGAGGCTGGGCAGCCGAGGCAGCTTCCGCAGACCGTCTTGACTTTGCAAGCTTTGGCTTCGTCTGTATAAGAGAAGTGGCATTAGAGGTTATTTAGAAGCTCAGAAAAGAAGAACAAAAAAAGACCCGTCAGACGAGTAGCCTTTTTTTATCATTCGGAGAATCAAACAGGCTTTGATGGGGATCTTTTTGAAGTCCGCTGTGACGTGAGAGAACAGACTGTGATGTTTGCGAGTCTCACTTTGTCTCCATGATTTGCTCCAGCTCTTGGGCCTTCCTGCAAAGCTCCTCAGCTGGTGGGAAGCTTTTCCCCACCTTCATGAAGAGCGCCGCTATCTTGTTGCTGCGCAGAAATCCCGCCGCTCGCCTTTTCAGCCCATGCAGAACACACGCCTCCACTGCAGCTGTGTGGACAGAAACCAAAGGTTGGGAAAATCGTCTCTTTATTTGATGAGCAAAAGGATAAAAAGCCCTATAAACTCATTAGAAACAGCATCACTGTGGGAAAACAACAGATCTGAGTACAATATGTGAGTTCTCCTGTGCTCAGAGGAACCATAAAAACCATTCTGCTACATCCTCACGACTTTTGGTTTTGTTTTAATAACATTAAGGATGACCTATGCTTGAACTGAATTCTCAGGATTATGTGTCTTAATCTCAGTAAACAGTTCTGCACACATGTTGACATGTTGATACGCTCGACACGCTGCTTCCTTTCTGGGCCTACGTGGCAGGGCCTGGCTGCCGTGTTGACATTTGAATTTTTCTGTTGGGGCTAATCCCGTGGCTCTGTTCACATGGGGTCAGGAGGAAGGATGGGGTTGCCATGGCAACCCCCGTTGATGGAGAGATGGAGCTCTGGGAGAGAAGAGCAGAGGGAAGGGCGGCGACAGCTCGTGGCGACGGCAGCCTCTTCCTTTCAGCCGTCCTCGCTGCCGAAAACGCAACTTCCTTCTTTCCTTCCCTCTGACGCTCTTTTCTCTTTTATCCTTTCCTTGTGCCGACCCTCCTGCACCTCCTCATCTAACGTCATTACAGGAGCAAGAAGGTAAATGTCAGAGCCAGGAGTCCCATTAGAATGTCTCAAATTATAGTTCATGCCTGCTACTCCTATTATCTTTTATGAGTGGTCTCAAATGACAAAAGTACATAAAATAAAAATCCAAACATTTTCTGTTTTTTTATTAAAAAACAAAACAAATGAAAAAATATGACAAATATGTTTAGTAAAATCCACAAATCAGCATTTTTTACATGCAGCAATGTCAGCTTTTTCAAAAGAAAATCACAAAGGAAGCAGAAGCTAAAACCAGCATTCAAACATGCCACAAATTATAAGTTCATCGTGGACTAGTCCTACATGGAGATCCCACCTGCTGAAAACAGCCAAGGCAGAAAATTGTCTCTAATCATCTTGTATCTGTGGCAACTGAGGCTGTGAGAGTCTGCTGCCAGTGACACACAGCTGAGCAGCTCAACATTCAGATAAGACAACAAATCAACAAGAAACATGCAAATGAAAACAAAACAGTTAATGATGACATTTTTCATCTAAACTTGACAATATAAAATACACGCAACATTGGCAATATGTGTAAAAATCTATTTTTGTAGTACTTTTATCACTCTTTTCTGCAATGAGTAAACAAACTTTCTAAATCACTATTTGTGGCTCCATCTTCATTGGCAGGAAGTGATTCAAATATGTTTACTGATACCAAATAACAAGACAGATCCTCCAGTCAAGTATAAAACTGAGATTTTTTTCCAAATATTTTCTTTCTTTCATTGTTTCTTCGCTCAGTGGTGATCTCTGAACGTCGACGTTTCATTCAGACACATCCCGGGCAGCTCATAAAAGCAGCCATGACGGTCGAGGTTAATGGCTCCCCAGTGAGCTAACTGAGCTCTCCTCCTCCTCTCACTCCGTTTTCTGACAAGACCACAGCTGGGGAAAAGTACACAACAGAAGCTGTGAAGAGGATCACAGGAGGAAGAGGTGGAGGAGGAAGAGGAAGAGGCTGGTAAACAACATAGCAGGAGGAGGAGAGCTCRTTCTGAACCACCGATGTTTGGAGGTTTGATATTAGCAGAGGAAAACACGCGCCTTGATCCCACAAATGATCTCCACACGGGAGGCCAAGAAATTTGTGGACACGGCAACAYAAAGGCGCTGATGGAAACACATCAGACACACCGCCGTGCTGACCGGAGGGTAGGAAAAGAGACCTTCAGCGACACTAATAAAACCCAGTGCTCTAAAGAAATATTTTCCTCACTCTCTTAGAGTGAAACATAACTACAAATAGAGACGTGAGTTAAGCCGATTACTGGAGAGGAAGGTTGTTAAACATAATTTAAGATGGATTTATAGGTTTTCAGGCGGTGCTTTAGACAGTTTACACACTCAGACTGAGGAGAGCTCATGTAGAAACACAGAATATGACACAAAGCTGAATATTATCAATATATTCCTATTTTCTTTTGATTTTTCTCCTTCTACAGTATTTCTACAATAATCATTACTTAWCTGTTTAATGATGTAGTTGTGTGTCACTGGTTGGTTCATAGTGTTTCCTCGCTCTCGTTAGTAAAAAAAGTGTGATTGTCGCTGCCTTTCAAACAAAGTTTCTACAATATAATTGTGCAATTGCATTTTTGCAGCATTACAGAGCAGACATATAGTGACTTGAATTTTTCTCCATATTTCGACATTTTTACAAAGAGCTGCCATGACAGGGGCTCCTTTCTTTCTCTTCAAGTTAACCTGAGTCAGTGTTGAGAAAAGAATTCGCTGTTCTGTAAGTGTTTATCCCTGCATTTTGTTACGTTTATTAGAAAAAATATTGAGAATGTTGTTTGTTTGCACCCATGGCTTTGATCAAATAGAAGATCTCACTTTCTGTGCTAAAGTGAGAKTTGTTATATTTTCACACTAAAGCCCATAAATAAATGTGATTCTTGATTACAGCTCTGATTTGACATGTGGGCAGTGTATTTCTCATTGTGTTCAAACTGAGACTTAACAGTTTGATTTGGAGGCAGGAGCAATAACACTTGATGAATTACTGAACTTGAAACCTGTTATTTATTTATTTTTGTTTGTTTTTTTAGAATTGACTTATTCTAACAGCACATTTTTTTGTAATGAATACAGCAGATATGCTGGACAATAATTGCTGTATGTAACTACATATGTGTTGTATACTCTGAGTTTATTAGGAGTGCAAAAAAAACTGAATTTAGTCTCTCCCTGTGCTGCAAAGATATGTTTATAGTTTGCTTGAGTCATAGTTTTCAACCCATTCAGTTTTCTCTATTTTGCATGACGTTTTCTGAAATATTACATCAAATTATTTGTGACTGAACTACCACATGAGGTCTGGACAAATGCTAAATGTTTTTTTGGTGGGTGTGAAGCAACTTTTGCATTTACAGAGAAAATAAGTTGCTTTGAGACGCACCTCAGAAAGAGGGTGAAAGAGGGGCTTGTGGAGTTACAACTGGGAAGAATTCAGACCAAAGCATTGCAGTTCCACTTTATATAGACTCCAACTGAATGATTTAAATGTGAAAAAGAAGGATTTAGTTATTCATCAGAGAACCAAAGCAGCCAGTGGCCAAAAGGATGGTCCAGCACAGAAGAGCAACATCATCAGGACAGGACTCTGTGGTTTGCACTCATTAGCAGGCCAGCGGTCACTCTTTCACGGATGAAGATGTTCACATCCTCCATAGAGAGGAWAATTGGTTTGAGAGGAGTAAAGGAAGCCATCTTTGTGAAGAGAAACCAACCATCATTAAACAGGGGTGGAGGCCTCCATGTCCAAATGKCCCCCTGCTGTTTTTGCGAGTATGACTCAGCCCTCTGCAAACAATAAGTGGCCATCAGGACACTAACGATCAGTCGTTAGGCTGATGGTCCTCCTTTTGCATGTGAACCAGAAAACTGGTTGATCCACAAAGATACTGCTTTTAAGACTGAGTTCGCCTGCAACTTATCAGACTGAGGAGGTATTTTGCATTAAAGACAAAACCTTTCAACAAAGAAGAACTCATCCAAATGATCTGACTCAACCTTGTTGGGTTTTTCTACCTAGGTTATTGAGAATATATCAGGACATTTGGTAGCTTTAGTTTTTTTTTTGTTTGGTTTCTGTAATAATGCCATGATGTTAGGTTTTAATACTTTCCCAATGCTCCAGGTCATTAATCGTGTTTCCATCCAATTTTAATTCAAATTTTGAGCTAATTTTAATTATTTCGCAAAAAGGAAAAAATTAAGAAATGCGAATCAAACGGAGTTTCCATCAACTGGCTTGAAGCGAATCAATTACGTCATATGCATGTGCGTAGTAAACAGGAAGTAACCGTCGCTAACCTCGCAGGGTCCACACATCTCAGGATAATGGAGAGAAGTTATCAGGAATGCGTTGCTACTATCAGGAAAGTTGTAATTATTCTGTTATCAACTAGTTTTGGCGATGTTACTGCTGTCTGGAGACATAGAGAAAGAAATGCAATTTTCTTCACGTTAAGGGATTACTGAGAAGACGCAAACAGCGGGAGGAGGGTTATGCTGCCAGTCGAGGCTGCAGCCGACCCGAAACTGGTACCGGTACCGAGGAACAGCTCATCAGCTACGTGAGGTAAATGTTCGCTACGTCACAACTTATTCGGCAAAAGTGTTTCCATCTCTGCTTTTGCGCATTAAGTGTTTTTTGAAAACCCCAAAAACCACCTCAAGCGAGCGTTAAAACTTTTTAGCGAATTGAGGATTTTATTTTSGAATTTTGYTGTTTCCATCTGACTTTTTTTCGCATTTTTAATGCAACATTTCTAAATGCGCATCAAAAAGCCTTGATGGAAACACACTTACTTTTTCCCTCTGCTTCCCCTATACAGCATTTTATGGTATGTTTATGATTAAATTCACTAAAATTACTTTAAAAGAAAAATAAGCAGTTTTTGAATAATTATTATCAGTGTGGTTTTAGATTTGGACATTTKCCTCGGATGTTTCCTACCAGAGAAAACCTCTTGTGTAGGTGTCGAAACACAGCTCTGTTATAGAAGTGTTACACAAAAGCTGTTTATTTTTGGACACTCACCACAAAAGGACACAATGTGGCTGCTGTCTTCGTGGACAAACTTCCTGGTGACAGCTTCCTCCATAATCTGCTTCACCTGTTAATGACACGGTACATGCTGGATGACTCACACATTAGTATGCCACAAGTGGCGCAAACAGTCTGAGGGGCTTGTTGGTAACAATTTGACTGAGTGGCAAAACACACTCAGAGGATAATCAGGACAATTCGTGACACCAATGCACGCCCGTCAGAAAATATAATAGAAAGAGAAAGAGAGAGAGCTTTAAAGAGTTATGTGGAGGAAAAAAAAAACTGTCTGGAACAAAGATGGTGAGTTTAGCTGTGAGTCATCATTCTGAGGACTTCTGGGAAATGGAGGTTGATTTGGGGTGGAGAGATAGAAAGACACCCCCCCCCCCCACACACACACACACACATACACACCTGTTTCTGAACAAAATCTCATCAGGGTTGACACGATCTGCTCTGTCAAACTCTGATAACATTTGATTCACACATTTTTTTTCTTCTTCAGTTTTCTGAGGTCAGATCATAACAAGGCAAGTCTGATGAGTTTGATTGTGTTGTCACGATGATGGTGTCCCTCTCCTCGCCGACCCCAGACCTGCCACACAACCCATCGGTGAATCAATCGCTCTGGTGACTATGGAGACGTTCCCCTGTGTGGGCACCCGCTCTGCGAGCCGGAGGAGAGGGAGGGGGAACATGAGCCTTCAGACACAGCCACCGCCACACAGATAGCTGTAATTTCCTGCCGAAATGAGTCTGTCCACAGTGAACATATGACACTGCCAAGTTCATCATCTGCACACACAAACACCCTCCTTAACACACACACATTAAGCCTGTTGTCTGTCTTTTGGCAGTAGTTGATAAAAATTCTTTCAACGATGGTACATTTTTCTGCTCTGCACATATTCATACCTTTTATTTCCAACCTTCACACTGCCTTTTTCTATTTTTAAATTTTTCTGTAAGGCAGCTTGATTTTCATAAAGCGTCTTATTGCCCACCAGTRTTAGTTTTTATGGCTTTACAGCGTGATCATAAAGTTTCTGCATTAACATTTAACTTGCGAAGATTTCGCACGTCTGCCAGCCGACTGAACTCAGATCGTTCACACTTTTCATTTTAAAAGTGCGCGGGATGTCGAGCAGGTGAAAACACGGTGTGTAACTGCAACAAGCTGCTGCCAAGGTTGATGCAGGTGCAGGTGCTGAAGGAGAAGCTGTGTTTGGAGAGAACATCCCAGCAGCCGTCGCCCGACAGAAGCAGTAACATCATAAATTCATCACTTTATCTCGAGCAGGAAATGTCCTCAATGATGCGTTCAGAAATTGACTTCAGCAGAACTGAGTCAGGAACACGAAAATAAAGATGTGAGCTGGTTGATGGCACGTGTAGTGCTGATTTTCTGTTATTTCACAGCTTATATCTCCTCTTCCTAAAGAATACTCTGTAAATAAAAAGGTAGGTCAAAACACTTAAGTGTGCTCAAATCCTTGCTTCTATCAAATACTTAAATATCTAAATAAACAACCACTAATCAGACAGCAGCTGCTACCCAAAAAATAGGAAAAAAATCAGTGCCATTGTACTTTTCAAGCTGAAGCAGAAATGATTCACGCTGCCAACACAGCAGAGGCATCAGCAGTCTGATGAGGCGCTCAGCAGCTAGACTCATGAATAAACTTCCATTTAAAAAAAGAAAAAACATTTACGCAAACATATAAATCTCAGGGGTGGGCTTTTTCCCCCCCTCTGCTTCTTCTGAGTGTAACTAACGGACAGAAACTTGATTGATTTGCTCACTTGTGCTGCCTCATCTTTCTGCTCGTCTCAGCTGAAAGGCCCTCGGAGGAGTAAAGTCTGCTAAAGTGTCTGAGCACAGGCAACCTGCAGGTTTCTATGGAGATGTCACGAGTCTCGCAGTGGTACGCCTTCTGCCGAAGCGATGCATGAAAAAAAAAACATTAATTCATCTCTCTCATAAACAAGGATGGCTGCAGCTCCCTGACTACAGTCGCTAAAGACATCTAGAAGTACAGCGGCGACGTCGTATCACCTCCCACCCCCCCCCAGACGTCTCTCTGTGGGTTCATTCAGAACAAACCAAGCCTGAGGTGGTCCTACGGGGTAACAAGCACACGTTTTCACTTGAATGAACTAAAAATGACACGTGTGGAGTATTGGCAGTCATTAAACACCTCTGTTGCAGCACTTATCACTGCAGCTTGAAGGAGGCAGCGTCCCCGATAAAAGATCTACTCAACTCCCCAATTAAGTCCTGCAACAGCGGAGAGGAAGAAGAAGCAGAGAGACCGCCTCAAACACAACATTACTCAACCTTTCTGAAGCCACGGAGGAATGAACAGAACAATAAAGAAAGAATTAAATTGCGACTGTTTTTTATGCAAATCTGTGTGTGCTAATTAAACTGATTTAATGCTGAAAAGTCTGATTTTATAACCACTTTATGGACTCATGTACATCTTGAACTGGACTTTAAATTATTCAAGTCAACTGAGCAAAATGTCCTCACTGTATAATGTAAATATTTTTTCAATCAAACACCGGAAAGCCTATTGGCACCTGATTGGCAGTGCCTGGGGGTACCAACTGCTCAAAAAAAAGCATCAGTAGCAACAGCAGAGTAAGGTGTTTGGCAGAAAAGACTTGGCAAATTTATGTGAGCAACCCACATGCTCAGCTCTACTGCTCATCCCACAAATGCATGTTCCTTACAAATGTTGCACCATTTAAAATGGAATTTAATAAGCTTTCCAACGAATAAAATTACCAAGAAGCATTGTTACAACAAAGAAATAATCTACCAAATACAAATATCCATACTTTTTGTGCTTAGTGTGACATTAGTTGTTGGCTGTGTCCAAATTCAGAGGCTGGGTCCTCCGAAGGACCCGGCCTACTCAGTCTAGGTGGGCCGGGTCCTTGGTAGACCACGAAGACCGGAAAAAAGTGGCTGTGAATTTGGATGATCTAGCCTCCCGTCTTTACTCCGGCATACGTCCTGTCACCTATCAACTGTGGCAACGCTAAACAGAAGCAAAATTAGATCGAAATTAGAAAAAGTATGAATATATTAGCATTATTAATATCATAAAACAAAAAAATTAGCTTAAAGGTAATATTTAAAGAACTAAGGTACATGCATGGTTATTTTGCTTGTTTTATTTTTGAGGAGAATAACATTAAAAACATGTCTATATGACAAAAGTCTTAACAACACAATCACTTGAAACTTTTAATTTTTATACTGCCAGACTTTTATTTAAAACTGTTCTCCTTTCCTTCATTTTGTCCGCCATTGCTAGCATAAAAAATATCTCCAGTCGGCCCACAAAGCATTATGGGATAGTGTGGGCCAAGAAGGATCCATCGGACCAGTCCTTCAAATCGGGGCAAAAGAAGGACGCATTTGTTGGCTGCATCAGTGAAGTCTTTGAATTTGGACAGCCTCCAGTGCTGTGCTGCGACATAAGCAGCCAATGAATTTAGCTTTCGGAGGGCCCAGCCTCTGAATTTGAACACAGCCGTTGTCTGTTTTTAATAGAAGCTGCAGTGCTGTAAAAATATTGCAAAAWGTACAGCTTCCCTTTCTGTGCAGAATGCATGGACGGTTAGGCTGTGAGTGTTCAAAGACATAACTTTGAACTGAATAGTTTAAAAAACTTTTTTCACGATTCCCCCCAGCAGTACCTCCATGACCCCTGGGGTTGCGACCCCATCATCTGTTGAAGACAGAAAACACAAAGTGATTCAGTTGAATTAAAAGTGACGAAGGCCATGTACTCTTATATTATCTTCTCCAAAAGCTTCTGATGAATAAATTCACCCACAGGTCAAAAACGGCCCAACAGTCTCAAAGTAATCAGTGTGCACAACGACGGTAATATCTAACAACTTCCCTGTGCTCCTTTCTGCAGAAGGAATTAATCTAATCTAACCTACATTAGTGTTGTCTCTCATCAACACGTTCCCAGAAAYGAAAAAAAAAATCACCATTAGCCTTAAAACAAAGAATGAAAAGGTTTTACAGGAGCTGGCTTTTAAAATATGAAATAGGAAAGTAAACAGTGGTGCTCTCTTTGTCTCGCTCCTTTAGCAAACACAGGTGTGCGTCTGCGTGAATGTGTGATTTGCAAAAAGACGACGAGCGGGGAGAGGATCAGAGCACGACACTGTGACACGGGCAGACAYAGAGAGGCTTGGAATTAAAGCCGAAGCAAATTCGAGTTCTTATTCAAACCAATTTTGTGTCAGAGAGTAATTTCAGCCGTGGTAGGTGCACTCAGCTCTYTGGATAATGGCCCACATCCAGGTACGTCTGAGCAGACTGATGGCAGGAAACCAGCTGGACGGAGAGCGAGCGTAAACACACAGCATACACACACCATATGGTCCAACCCACATCGAGGCATGATACTCAAACCAACAGAAACATCTAGGCATGACAGTACAAACCAAGCAACAAAACATAAATACAGACATGCAAACTATAATATATATTATGTTTTTAACTCTTAATTGCTCAAAAAACAATCTTTGTTTTTATATTTATACAGATCCACTCATCCTAAATAGCTAAGGGAAATTAAAAATACAAATAAAACTAGCCAAGCAGGGCCACCAATTATTTTTAGAGGTGTCCATCATCCCCCATGGCCACCCCCTTGGTTGCGCCCCTGGRTAGWGTTRGTATTGGAAYGACACACATAAGATCAGTRAGTTGTTCAAAATATTAATTTAARAATATAAAAGCATGATTTAGKTGAGCACGTYATGGGCCTCAGAAGCATACTKCTACTCAAAACCCAATTCAACAACAGCAACTCTGCTTTTTTATTAYCATCATTCTAAATCTGGTTAAACTTTTTAAAAATAGAGCTTCACATTGTTCAGAATAAATTAGAAGCCATTTTAAATCTGTTCTACTAGAAAATGATTATAAATGATTTGTAACAATGACAACAATTATTTCACATCTCTGGAAGAATTTAGAATCATTTAGCAAACTCAAAACCAATTAGAAGACCTAGGAAGGATCTGCAG